TATCCTTGGGTGATAACGAACACTCATACCAAGTTTCGTCAAAATCTATCAAGAATTGTGCCTTCTAGAGTGTTTACGAGCTAAAAATTGAACGCATTTGCAAGAACAAGGGCAATAATTCATACTAAGTATTTTTCGATTTCGCTGATTTTCAATAGGGTCTATCCTTGGGTGATAACGAACACTCATACCAAGTTTCGTCAAAAATCTATCAAGAATTGTGCCTTCTAGAGTGTTTACGAGCTAAAAATTAAACGCGTTTGCAAGAACAATGGCAATAATTCATACTAAATATTTTTCGATTTCGCTGATTTTCAATAGCGTTTATCCTTGGGTGATTACAAACACACATACTAAGTTTCGTTAAAATCCGTCAAGAATTGTGCCCTGTAGAGTGTTTACGAGCAATTGTGGACGGACGGACGGACATGGGTGACGACAATATACGCCCCCCATTTCATGTGGGCGTATAAAAAGCAATGTGTTCTATATTTAGAACTCCCAATTTTAAAATGTTGACATTTTTGTTTTGCTTACAATATACTCCTACTCCTCCATGCCCCTTTTCTTTCAAAAATTTGAAATCTCTAGTGTCATCATAGCTGCTGCTTCGAGGATGGTGGTGAAGACAGAAACCATTTAACTTTAGTTTTGCTGGAGTTATTGAATTATTTAGCCATGTTTCTGTTAAACAAATGATATCACCTTCTAGCATTTTCCTGTGTTTCTGTAAATCCTCTATATGAATAGATAAACCCTGAACATTGTGTAAAATAATATTAGTATCAGTTGATATGGTCTTAGACCTTGTACTTTGTGAATAGTAACTGCATAGGCGAGACCTAATGGAAACCGGCGACTAACATCGCCCTTATAGTTAACATAAGGGTTTTCATATCTCGCAATACCAATTCTACCATGTGGTACATTTGGCGGAAGTGGAACACTGTCTTCATTTATTCCAACTTTAGCATTATCAAATTTTACAAAAACTTTGTCAGTTTGAATGAATGTTACTTGACCAAAACTTCCATTTATCAAGCCAGTAAACATT